TTATGTCGATTAGTTGTTGCAGCCCTACTAAACATGAGACTGTAATCCATCACAGGAGCGAGCTTGGAGTGGCGACTACTTTACAACACACACACACAGGGAACAAAAGTAGTCACCCTCCAGAAGGAAGGACGGTGTCAGCGCCAATTCAGAGGATCTACAGCCGAGTGATACACAAATAAGATATATTTTTGTTAATAGTTCGGGTACTTGAATGTATTTTTAAGATTTCATTCCAAAGTTTAATGAGACTGTAATCCATCACAGGAGCGAGCTTGGAGTGGCGACTACTTTACAACACACACACACAGGGAACAAAAGTAGTCACCCTCCAGAAGGAAGGACGGTGTCAGCGCCAATTCAGAGGATCTACAGCCGAGTGATACACAAATAAGATATATTTTTGTTAATAGTTCGGGTACTTGAATGTATTTTTAAGATTTCATTCCCAAGTTTAGAGTCACTTTATGGGCCAGTGTTGATGAGCTTGCAGTTGACATCAGCTTGAGGTGCTTCTGAGATCATTGGCAGGTGCAGTTGACCTCCTGACCTGATTCAAGCCGATTTTGCTTTCCTATTGGCTTGTATGGGAAGAGAAACCGTTTTATTGTGAACAAAGCCTGTCTGCCCGGCCCCCAACATCCTCTCATTTCCTTTGTACAATAACACATTAGTGATATAAAAGAACTGGTGGCAGTACAGCCAGCCAAATCAAAGCTTCAGATTCCAACTGCTATATTCCAAGGCAGGCTTGAATCAGACTTGTGTCTATTGACCCTGTGTTGCGATATATCTTAGTGGACTTTTTTCAGACACACATACATAATAATAATATTGAGAAACAAAACTGACAACTGCAGTTGACAAGAGGACTGCTGTCATGTAATCTTATCTTAGTTCCCTATATAAATGTCTGTGTGCACACCATCCAGGAAACCTGTTCTAAAGGTGCCCATACACTGCACGATTCTCGTATGAGAATCGCGGGAAATCCCGCGATCGTACGAGAATCGTGCAGTGCATGGAAGGCGTGCGACCGTTTCTACTGTACGGTCGCACGTCTTCCGTCGAACAAGCAGGCTTGGAAACCCGCCGAGAATC